CCATCTGTAGGCCATAGGACATCCCTTCACAGAAGGATCACAAGGAAGGGATGAGTCAACCAAGGCACTGTATAGCACTGATGAAACACACGATATTCCTCTGGTTCTTTGAGGCTTCCTTACCCCCCACTATCATGAACCCAGTGCTGCCTTTCACTTCGGGCTAGAGTGGAGCATGTACACAGGTACAGATAAGAGCTCACGCCACACAGAATCCAGGTCAGATAAACCCCTCAGGAGCAGAATTGGGAGTGGCTATATTAGGAGGGCAGGGAGAAGGTGAGGGGAAGAAGGGGGAACAGATTTCAATGATGGATGCATAATCTCTCCCCCCCCCCCCCACCAGGGGGAGGAACAACAGAAACCATGGGGGAAGGGTGACAGTGGTCAGTGTAAGACATGACAACAATAATAATTTATAACTTATCAAGGGGTCATAAGGGTGAGAGGGGGGAGGGAGGGAATAAAGAGGAGCTGATACCAAGGGCTCAGATAGGAACTAAATGTCTGGAAAATGATGATGGCAACATCTGCACAAATATGCTCGATACAATTGATGTAGGGATGGTTATAAGAGCTCTCAGAGCAGAATAAAGTGATGTAATCAGAACAGTGTGTTTCAGGAGTGTTTACTGGGTTGGGTGACGTTTGTCAAGCAGATCACCAGTTGTACATCTACCAATTCCTATACTGTTTGCTCCATCTCACGAGTACTCGTTGCAGCCCCTTCATCAATGGGGCGGCACCACCCGACTTCTCTGTTTTCCCCGTTTCTATTCCTCCTCCTACTGCCCACCACCGCACCCTCACCTCCACACCGGTTAATCTCAAATGACTGATTATTCTAAGGTGTGCATGTCTTTTACTGGTGCTGTCGTTCTCCTTGCTGTCTGTCGGGTTGAATACTGAGCCATGGGGGTGAGCTCAGTCCCTCACATGAAGGTTTAGCCCACATTTTCTCCCATGCTACCCAGGACCTGCTAATGTGATCTCTTTCAGAGCAGGTGGTGGTGGTAGCTGGGCACCATCTAGTTTGTCTGGTCTCAGGGTCATGAGGACTGATGTTCATGTGGCCTATTAGCCCATTGGACTGATTATTTTCAGGTGTGTTAGATTTTCATCACTCTTTTTTCCCCTTGGGACCAGGAGAGACCAATAGTTGCACCTTGGAGGGCCGCTCAGGAGTCTTCAAGGTCAAATGTTTATCTCATGTAGAGAAGAATGAGGATGAGATTAGCTTTTCTTTGTATGGTCCAGTTTTTGGTTTCTGAGAAGTTCAAATAGATTTAGTACTTTTATTAAACAATCAATCAAGAAAACAACGGAGTTGGGTGGTGTGAGCATATGTGTCCAGGCTCGAGGCAGAAAAGCCTTGTGATCTGATTTCTGAACCTGCTTTCTAATCAGCAGCCTGCACAGCAGTTTCTAGCAGACTGGACTCTGAACCACATTGCCCAGGTAGTGATGGCAGCTTGTAGAGGAAGGGTGCCCTGGACTGGGAGAAGTCTATTTCCATTCTTCCCTTGGAGCGAATTTTGCTGATCTGATTTTCTTCTTTTATCCTCAAGTCTCTCCTAACCCTCGTGTCTGGGCTCCTCGCAGTCCACGCCCTCTTTGAGATGGGAGCTGGTGGAAAACAGTAGCTGTGAGGGTTAGAAGGGTGTGGAGAGAACTATGTAATCTTTCCTAGACCACCAACTTGGTAGAGTGCTGTGCACAGGTGAGCCTCAGCAGAGCTTTGGAGATGAATGAAAGGTGAAGGAAAGCCGCTCCATCGAGTGTGCTTTCCTTCACAACATTTCCAGTCCTGCTCTTCAATAGCCAGGCTCCCCAGCCAGTTTCTGGGTTTCAGCCCATGCGGTTGTTGTCAGGTTCTGTCGAGTCGGTCTGACTCACAGTGACCCTCTATGCACCACAGCACGAGACGCTGCCCAGCCCACCCAAAAGCATCTTGGGAAAAGACCTTGTAATCCACTGGAAGAGCAGACAACTCTGACCCACGAGAAACCCCCACAAGCCAAAGGTGACAGGAAGAAAGGGAAGGGTGTGGTGGTTGTTGCTGTTACTCGGTTTTGGTTCACAGGGACTCTGTGTCCACCACAATGGAATTTTTGTTAGGTTTGAGCCCATTGCTGCATTCACCGTGTCAATCCATCTCATCCAGGGTCTTCCTCTGTTTGGCTGCCCTTCGACTTTACCAAACATGATGTCCTTTTCTGATCTCACCCAGAACATGTCCAAAGTACGTGCGACGAAACCTCAGCACCCTCGCTTCTAAGGAGCATCCTGGCTGTACTTCTTCCAAGAGAGATGTTGTTTTGTTGTCAGTCCGCAGTCCTTTAAATGCTCTTTCCAATGTATTGATTCTTCTTCAGTCTGCCTTTTGTGATGCCCAAATGTCACGTGTATATGAAGCAACTTACAATTCCATGGCTTGAGTCAGGCGGACCTGCGTCCTCAACGTGACATCTCTGCTCTCAGTACAAAAAAAGAGGATGGTACTGCTGGCTAATTACCATCTCGTTTCACTCGCACCTGTAGTCCATTGCCCATCTTGTTGTAGTGTCCTGATATGACTGGTCCTCAAACTCCCTTCCTGAGTTCCCTGTGGGAACTCTTTGGACTCCTGTCGCTGGCCCGCTGCAGAGTGGCTCTTCTGCCTCTGCTGTTTGCTGGGACACCACCACCACAGGGACCCGCGTCGAGAACCAAGGCCGAGGCCATCCACACTAGATCTGCCTTCTCTGCAGGTCAGCTCTGCCCCTCTTCACTTCAGCTCTGTGTAGCTGATGAATACCGGGCAGGAAGACATTGTGGAGACATTGCAAATCTTACGCTCGGGGGGAAAAGCAGCTAAGGACGAACACCTGAGGGAGAGTTCAAGTCCAAACTAGAATCTGCCCATCAGGAGCAAAGGAGCTTGTCTTACTCTTCCATGTTCACCTCATCTTAAGTCTCTTCAGCATTATTATCAACCCTACAAATCCCATTTATTGAACGCCACCAGGACCAGGTATCTGAAGGTGCCATCCGCTCCTTTGCCACCACAACAGTACCAAGAGGTAGTCATTAATATCTTTATCTTACAACTTGAGAAAAGGAGTCACAAAGAGGTCAGTACCTGATTGATACTTTTGTTTGAGGAGTAAGTGAAATAATCCACATCAAAACACATAGCTCAGTGCCTAGCAAACAAAGGATGACTTTTCTTTGACTTGCTCCATATTTGGGTTATGGCAAATTGCATGTATATTGATCTGTATTTTTTGGTTGTTGAACATCTTATCTGTGGTATTACGTACTATACACACTATTTCAATGTGTAAGTTGCCAAGATTATCATTCTTATGCCAGCCTCCAAAGAATGTTAAAGTGGAGTTTATAAAGATACTGATAATCAGTGGCCATCACCATGAACATAAATTTAAAAAGGGCTATTTGACTTACATCAGAATTGACTGAATGATGGAGTCCTTGGAACAGAATCTTGCTGTAACTTGGGGACTCTCTATATTCAACATTATAAATATAATAAAACATCAGCTTTTATTGTTTTATAGAGGACAATATAAACTGAGAGAAAGTAAACGTTTTAGTGGTGCTAGTCCCAGAATTTATAGAGAGGTGGTGAAATGTCTTGGAGTTTTAGGGGGACTATTAACAAGCTTGTCTTGAAGTTGTGTTTGCATAAAAAGCATGCAATATTTAAATAGTGGTGGATAACAAAAATATCAAGTAAGTATGCCCGCAAGTAGTGTGGTGAAGAAATCAGATGGTGCCTAGGTATCAGAAAGAATAGCTTCTGGACTTGGAGAGGCTTGTCTTAAAACAAGCAGCCATCTGAGTGAGGTATCAGCTAAGTCTGCATGGAAGAAACCACCAGCTACTATGATCCAAGGATTAGAAATGATAAAATCCATGACCAGAGGAGGGAACTGTATTCAAATTTAAATTCTGAGCACCCAGTTTGCAGAAGGTTATGAAAGCCCAACTTCCATTTGCAAAGTCCCCACTCAGATGAAGCTTCCATTGAATTCCCTCAGACCACTGACTAGGGATGTGAATGGTCTTGTCTTGAGATATCATGCACTGCAAAGTGGATTATTGTAGATGTAGTTTAGGATAAAATTTAACATCTTAGCATTTGTTTTCTTTTTTGACCCATTTAAAAAACTTGTTCTAATTTTTAGCTTTCTTTGAATTGAGGTTTTACTGTTTCATTTAGTTGTTTGTATGGTTTTCTTTATATGAAATCAAAGATAGGTAAATCTATAAAGACAGTAAATAGATTAATAGCTATTTAGGGTTATGACAGGGAGGTTAGGTGGAAATGAGGAGCTAATAATAATGGATTCAAGGTTAAGAAAATGCAATGAAATTAATTGTGGTGATGATTGCACAACTCTTTTAAAACATTTAACCATTGTATGGTATGCAAATTATATGACAATAAAATGGAAAAAAAGAAAAACTGAGAAAAAGGGTGATAGATATAATGGAGAAAAACCATGTTTACGCAGGATTACCCATGGTTCTTTTGGTAACAAAGTCTACATTAACTGTTCTCATCCCCTATAACCCTGGGGGGTGGGGGTGGAGTATGGCTACCTTCATATGAAAGAGCTTCAGAAAGGGTCATGGAAAAATGTCATTGTCTTTTAATTCCATTTTCCACGCTCTTTGAAGCCCCTTGACTATGTCGGAGATTGAGAATGCTCATGTTTCAACTTTACATTACAGTTATGGTCATTACAGTTATGGTCACCATCGCCACTGGGGATAACTTAGGTCTGACGAAGCTAAAGCCCTTCCAGTCTTGCCGAGCCCGTGAATCTCAGGGCCAGGGTTCGAGGGCTGCTCCGATTCCAGCGTGCACATCCTTTCTACCACCCCAGCAAGTCTCTGTAAGTGGCCAGAGGATGAGACTGACCAGCAGTGTGGCTTTCCCATCCTTCCATGAAAGCACACCTCTCTCTCCTAACAGGTCCCTCCCCTCTGGCGTCTCCATCTCTGGATTTCTTTGCACAAGCAAAATGGACCCCTAGACACGCAAAAGGTAGACTTTTCTCTCTTTCCTTTGATCAACTGCAGAGACATGTCTAGCAGGTAAGTAAGATGAACTCAGACTGTCTTTCTCCTGCCTTTTCCCACTTGTTCTAGAAACCTGTCTCACCACATTAAGGACAAATCTCCTGTCAACCCAGCAGGCGTCCTGGGTGTGACTGTGAGTTTAATCAGAATTTTCATTTTCCCGGAGGGTCCAGGGTGCTGTCACGGGCTCCCGTACAGAGAGCAGTCGTTGTGACGGCTTGCTGGCTTTTCCCAAAGGAGCCCTATTGGGTTTGACAGTTCCTGGATAGCTATGATAGTAACAGGCAGGCCCGGGGTTTGACAAACACAGGTTTCTCAAATCTGTCTGAAGAGAATGTCAGGACACCCTTGTGTTAACAATCTGTCTCAGATCCTGACAACAGGTAAGGGGGGTTTTCAGTTCTCCACAGTGGAAAGCATTGGGGGTGGGGGAGCTAGCTGACTGGCTCTTTTCTCCCCCACGCTGATGGATCCATTCATTTCACAGGTCTCCAAATATCTGTTGAGCACCTACTGTGTCAAATGCAAATCTAAGCACTGGGCATGCAGTGACCCTCTAGAGTCTAGAGGACAGAGCTGTAGACCGAGACAAGTACTATACGAGTATTTATGTTGCCAGCAGGTATCACCGGGTCAATAGTGCGCTCACAGCCGGCCAAGTGGTTTTCCTCCGGTGCAGTCTTTACTGAAGTAGACCGCCAGGTGGCAGTCTTTCCTGGAGATGCTGGGTAGGTTTGAACCACAAATTTTTTGGTTAACCACTAATGCTATGGTTAACCATTGCACCTCCAGGGATGCTTACGTTCTTTCTACAGGGCTCTATGTGAGTTTGCATATTTACTTATTTTTTGCACTTTCCCCATATCCCGAGAACTTACTGTGTTAGGACTTAAGCTACATGCTGGTGTCTGCGGCGAGAAAAGGCTATTCCGGCCCTTACTCTCTACTGTCCAGAGGGAGAGCAGCCTGGGCATAAACAGCCAAATCATCTGATGGTACCATTGCCAAGCACTGATGGGAGTCCAGTGGGAGCCATTGAAATAACGTGTGCTTTGAGCAGAAACTGCACCGTAGCTTCTCCAGGCTTCTGAAGCCTGGGGCAAGGAGGATTGAATCAAATTACAAAACGGTCTGGGGTCACCTCCTTCCCTCCCCTTGGCTCTTCTTTTCTCCTCTGTAGCCAACTCTATCTACTAGGTCTTTCATTATCCATAGGCTCTTCGCTTACTCTTAAAGCACCTGCTCTCAAACTCAAAAATCATAAAAGAGAGCAGGCTTGCTGGCCAGATAGCGACTGATAGAACCCATAGACTATGGCCCTTAGTTATGCTTCAGGTCTGGAAATGAACTCACCCCAGGGCTCAGGATCCTGATCAACAGGCCTATGAAGGGGAACAACACTAGTGGGGTATGAACACCAACCATTTGAGGTCAAAAGGCAGCATTTACCAAAGGACAGAGTTCTGAAGGGTTAGGGAAGGAGAGGAAGGGGACTAGGAGACCCAGGGAGGCTGTGCGCTGTCGAAGCTACACTGAGGGGACCACAGCGAGGGCGGGGCAACAACATGGGTGGGAATAGTGGGTCTGCTATGGAAGCCTTCACCCAATGCACAATAAGGTGAACAAAGCAAAACAAATCGCCACACCTGTTTCCAGATTAGAGTCAGGTTGACATATTTCACACTAATGTAAATAATAAGAATTCAAGAGTTGCCAGCCTTCCCCCTCCCTTGGGGCTTTAGAGACATATAAAATCAATCACACACGCACACTTTTTTTTTCTAATAAAGGGAACAAACCCTAAATAATGGGGTTCTATAGCACAGGCTGGGTCAAAAGATGGGCATTAGGGGAGAGAGTGTCAGACCCTACCAGATACCAGGTCCTCTGGGAAGGCTTGGATGCCATCTCTGTCTTATGCCAAAGTGGAAAAGGGCAGGCTTTCTGGTCCTTCCAGACAGGGCCTGGGAATGGTCCCTGGTCCCTGAGGTGACTCCGCTAGTCCACAAGCCTGTCCTAGAAAGCTCCATTTACCCAGGGGTCAGAGCAAGGGAGTGCCAAAGAGGCACATCCCGGCAGGCTTCCTCCCACTCCCTGCTGCCAACAGGCTGGCTGAGAAGACTCCAGTGACCGCCTGAGGCCGCTGTGACTCCACACTCTTTCTGCAAAATCTGCTGTCAGCAGACATGGGTGCCAGGGCTGTCTGGATTTCTTTTGTTTTTGTGGCTAGATTCCAGGATGGATGTTTCTGCAGAGAGATGGAACACATGTGCTCAGATTTGCCTTAATGTGGGAAAACAGAGCTAGGTAAACATTTATACATTCTGAAAATGCCCTCCTAGTATGTAAGGATTTTGTTGTTTTTTTTATTTTTTATAATAGGACCTGTTTCCACTGTGCAGCGAGAATACTTCCAGTATGGGGGTTTGAGCCCAGTACCCTACTCACAAGTGGTGTGGTGGGGCCTTGCCGTGGGCCGGAATCACTCTGGGCCTCCGTGAGAGCAGAGGGAAAGCCGTGTATGACACTATATGCCCTACCAAAACAACAATAACAAAAAGAACTCTTCATTAAATCCTTGTTTTAAAATGTTTTTAAAATCACTTTACTGGGGGCGCTTACAGCCCTTATAACATTCCATTCATCAATTGTATCAAGCATTATTTTGTTTTCACAATATTAAAAAGAGACCAAGGTGGCATTACCCATCGACATATAATTGATTTCCACTTATTGTAACCTAAACAGGTCAGAGTAGCATTGCTCCATAGGGTCTGACTATAGTGTGCTTTCGACTAAATCTTTCTGGGAACAGACGGTTTCATTTTCCTTCTGTGTAGCAGCTGGCGAGCTGAAATCACCAACCTTTAAGTTGGCAGCAATGTTTAACCCATAGCACCACCAGGGATCCCTGAGGCAGGTATATCTTGCAAATGAATCAGAGGGCAGACTGGAGTCTGGAACTGGACCATTAGATGAAAGAGAAAGGGGTGTATGGAGTCTGTTTTGCAGACTGAGACTGGTCAGGGCAGGTCAAGCAAAGAAGAGGTCACCAAAAAGTTTGATATGCTCTCTCCCTCCTTCTGCAGTAAAACAGGAACCTCCGGTGGCCCGGTGGCTTATGAGTGGGGCTGTGAACCACAAGGTCGGCAGTTGGAAACCACCAGCTGCTTTACAGGAGAAAGATGATTTACAGTCTCAGAACCCCCCAGGGGCAACTCCACTCTGTCCTGTAAGGTCACCCTGAATCAGAATGGACTCACTGGCGGTGAGTTTGGGTCCTCCGGGGAACAGAAATACTATATGCTACGCGGGGCTGGGGCTGCACTCAAAGCTCACAGGTCAAGAGGAGCTCCCCTTCTGCTACTCTCAACGTGACTCACCACTTGGAGCAAATTTCATTCTCCTTTTCTCCATTGGCTCATTCAGATTGTTGTCCATACCTGCTCAGAGGGGCATAGTGATGCCCAAAAGGTGATGTTGGACTTGGGAGCATCAGCGGAAAGGAACAATGACTAAATGAGCCCGTGAACTCCAGGGGTGGCAGGAAGAGCACCTTGGGATGTGTGGTAATTATGTCCACTTGAGCTGTTCTAGGAAAACAGCTAGGAAAGAATTTCTTTCTCTCTTTTTTTTGCTTCAGAGGCTGTGAATGGTAAGAAACATTCCATAAGCAATTATGCAGCCCTGATTCAAGGATTCAACTCTGCCAATGAGTTTTAACCATGAAAGAAAAGCAAATCTACTTCGGGGCTAAGGTAGTTTTAGGAATGGCAGTTTTTGAGTTTTGTACTGACAGGTGCTGATGAAAGATGATGAATCCCATTCACTAATATAATGGGCTACATCTGCCTAGCAGTGCATAGCGCACCAAATAGTTTTATATAAACTCTCGTGTTCGATGTTCCCAACCACCCGCTGAGATATGAAGAGGATGCAGAGTACTATCACTGCAATTACAAAAGACTTTATTGCAATATCATTCCTAGAACATAGAATTCACCCATTTAAGTTGTACCATTCAATGTTGTTTTTTTTTTTTTGTGGCATATTCACAGACATAGGCAACCCTCACCAGTCAATTTTAAAACATTTTTATCACCTCAAAAAAGAAAACAGACCCTGTAGCTATCTACAGCCCCCTAGCTTCCTCTTTCTCCTATCCCTGCCCTAGGCAAAAACAACTAAACAACTGTCTGTCTCTTCGGATTTGCCTATTCTGGGCATCCCACCCTCCCCCCTTTAAATATTTTGTATTGTTACAAATATATACAACACAGCATTTGTCAAGTCAGCATTTTGTTGCTGTTGTTGTGGCATGGGAGGACTTTAGGGGGACTCCAATCCAGCATTTTTTACACGTACAATTCAGTGACATTAATCCCGCTAACCAAGCCGTGCAATCATCATCCATTGTCATGGCTGTGTGTGTTAGGCTGGGTTCTCTAGAGAAACAAAACCAGGACACTTATGATTATATAGATATATAGATAGATTTACACAGCATGAAGGACTACAACAGCTAATTAGTCCACTCAGCATTACAGAGGGCTCAGTTCAACTCACTTCCATGCAATAGTTTATATACTGGAAGTCCTCCAACTCAGGAGAGCTGTTGGGTCCAAGTTCAAGGAAGCAGACAGTTGAGTCTTCCCTTGGACAACGCAGGCAGAGTCCCCCCATCGGCGGCAAACAGCAGGGTGGGTCACCAAGAGTCAGCCCCTTAGGAGCTCATTGAAGCAGGCCCAGATGGGGTATCAAACTCAAGCAATGCAAGACAACAGGATCCACCAGCCTCAAGCTCAAGTGATGTACACAACAGCAGCGTGGCGAAGTAGGTCTCGAAGGATCTTCAGGCTCCAGGGACACTATCCCATCCGCAGGTTAGCTTGTCCCACAGGTTGTGTAGCTCACAAGTTGAGGCCAAGAACTAGCTAAAGTAGCCACTAGCTGGCTGGTCCGATCACAGAGCAAGGGGCAGGTCTTGCTGAACTATTATCTCTTTGCCCTCCATTCAAACAGCGATCTGATCAACGCTCCATGTTCCTATTGGCTAGGTGGGCACAATAAATAGACCTATCACATCATGACATCTATCACCACTAGTAGATATTCAATACTCTGTACTCATTC